AAAATGTTAATAATTTGAGGGTATTTTTTTTATATAATAAATATAATAATATAATAAAATGGTATCATAGGAACACAAATTTAATGTATTAACTAAATAACACTTCTTGCGATAATGTTGAAATGCTGTTGAAATTGTGTTGAAAGATTCATATTATTTTTTATAATTTTTAACTAACTTATAATGAATTTTTTTAAACTTGTATTGAAATTTCCTATTGTTTTTTTACCAAATTGTGACATCATTTTTTTATATTAATTTATATTTATCACCTAAGTAATGAATTATTATTGTCTCTAATTGTATGATTAAAAAATTTACTTATTATATTTGTGTTTATCTAATTTTATAAATAATATGATGGTTGAATTGTTATTGAAATCCAAATCAGAATTTTGAACATGAAGAGTTTGAGTATTTCAATTGTGAGTTTATTGTATTTTCAAGTTTTCACAAGATATTAAATCACAATATCAATTCAATAATAAAGAAATTTTTCACAAGATATCAAATCAGAATTTCAATTCAATAATAAAGAAATTTTTCATGAGATATCAATTTAGAATTTCAATTTAATAATAAAAAAATTTATTTTTAAAGGAAAGTATTTTATTATTATTTAATTTTTCATTTTTGAATACACTTAATTCTATCGATCATTTATTAAATCAAACTAACAAATTTTTTAATTTTTACAAACACAATAAAAAAAATGCTACATCATGATTTATCTAGGGGGATGCAGAGATCAATTACTTGGTTGAAGAAAAAAGAAGACACAATCATGAATATCATTATTTTTTTATGAAAATAAATTAAGATTTTGGCAGAACATCATGAAAAGAATAAATTGACAATATAATAGCAATTATTCTTTTCGCCAATACGAACAGAAGTAGAGAAATTTAGTAAGGGATTATAGGATAAGTAAATAAATAAATAATAATATGTTAATAAATATAATTTAATAAGTAATTAATATGTATCCTTTAGGATTTTTACTATTGGTATAACAGTGTGAGAAGAGGAGGAAGGTGGTTGTATAACGGAAAATGATTTTATAATCTATTCCAAATTAGGTTTTGGGATAGGCTAGATAATTATTATATTTAATTGATAGTTTTAATAAAAAAATTAGGAATTTTTAGATTTATATTAAGTATTTATTACATTTTTTAGTTACGAGATATCATTGAAGAAAAGTCTATAATGTGTCAATAATGGACTAGTAGTTGGGAAGTGAAGAATAGAAGGTTTATTTTTTTTTAATTTTTTTATTTTTTATCATGGTTTAATTTTTATGTTTATTTTTATTATGGGGTTTTATTTTTTTTAATTTATTTTTTTCTTTAGGAGTGGAATTTTCATTTTGTGATGTTTATTTTTTTTTTATTATTTTTTTCGTATAAATAAATAATATTAATTAATTATATTCTGAACTATCATTAATAAATTTTCTTACTTTTTTCTTTTGTTTAGTGAAGAAATCTCAAAACTTTTAAAAATAAATTTATATTTATTATTATAAATTATTTTATTTAATATTAATTCCAATTTTTGTATTACCAAAATTGCTTTAAGATCACTTTAACTTTAACCACGAAGAGAAGTTATTCTATAAAATGATATCATAAAATTAACTTTAATTATATTATAGTAAAATTATATTTGTATTTTCTTTTTACAGTCATCATTTATTATACTAAATAATTTGTCATACTATATCGAATAATTTGTTATAGTAATAGCGAATTTTTTTATAATGAAAGGCTGATCAATCTGAATGCTAACTTCATTATATTAAGATATGATTATATTCATTGCAAATATTACATAATCCATCCAGATTTTATCGATACATAATGACCAAATATATTATAAAGGATATTCTTTTTATTTTATTGGGATAAGTTGCTTCAAATTTTTGTTAAAAGGATTTCTTGTTATCTTTTAAATATAATAATGATAAATTGATTTTTGGATCAATATGGTAAAACTCATAATAACATTGTTTTTGTTAGAAAAAAAGGTCTTAAATTCTTTGTCTTTTATTTCTGAAATATAATTTTGTGTTACAATTAGTTTTTTTTACTAAACATTCTGGATTATTTATACAGTTATAATTTTTTGTAACATTAATTAGATTATTTAAAACCTAAATAAAAATAAATTTTTTTTAAAATTTAAGAAAAATTATTATTTAATATTAAATAAAAAAATATTTTATTCAGATCTATAATTTATCTTAAATTATTTTATACCTATATTTTTCTGTAATTATAGATAAAATTTATTGTTTTCCATTCATTCTACACTTATTAGCTTAAATCGTATCATTAAAACTTTTCCAAAATTGATTAATAGTTGTTTGTAATTTCATGTTTTTATTCTATAATTTTTTATTTTCAATGAGTTTCTGTCTTTCGTAAATATTTAGCAGATTTATGATATATAAATATAAAAGTATTTTATGATCACTAACAGTATTCACAGAATACGTTTAGAATTCAAGCTAAAATACAATTATTTTTTTAGATAATTTTTTTAAAACATAATCATAAAATAAAACAATAATTAACCTTATATATTTTCTTGTTATATGATATTATATTTGTGTAACTAATACTTCTTATTATTCTTCATTAAATAGATAATTCATTATTAGTAACCTGATATTTTACTAGATATATTTGTTTAAGATGAGCATTAAATTTTATAATGCTTGAATTTTGCTCTTTCTACTGAATAAAAATTAATACCAATTAAATCCAGAAACTGCAAATTTTTATTTTAGAGTTCATTCAAATGCTTGAGTATTTGAATATTATTCTAACCAGTTAGTTATATTACAGATTAGCAATCCTATATAATTTTCTAGTACATCAATTGTAGTAGGATAATTAATTTCAAATAAAGTTTTTTTATTATAATTTTTTCAATATTCTCATCTCTTTCAAATCTTATCTGGTGAAATATCACAATAATTTGCAATTTTTTTTTCATTTTGAAATATCTTAATTTGACAACTTTTATCATTAATTTTTTGAATAAAAAGACATTGTTTTTCTTGATATTTGTACATAATCAGAATTGTTTGAAATTCCTAATCTTATAACTTAAACTGAAAATTTGTCAATTGATATCTTAAAAGAATATAATAATACATCTAATAATAATTGCTTAGTTATATTTTCATTATTAAATAAAGGTCCTGAATATCATGTTCCAGTATTAAAACGTTTTTTATAGGTTTCATTTATAGCTTCAGAAGCAGTTGAATGATTTTTTTGTAAAATCTGTTTCACAAATATAACCTGGTTTAGTTTTATTGTTTGTTTCAGTGATACGAATAATAAACTCTGCCTTGTTGAGTTTCAAATGAACTCTCATAGTTATTCGTATAGGTATACATATTTGATTTTCTTTTTCAGATATTTTCTCGTTAATAAATATCTACCAGTTTACTGCAAATGGGCCATAATGAAGCGCTGGAATAAGATTACAACAGCTATAAGTTGTAGTTTACTTTTATTTGAAGACAAAAAGAAATTACTATTAAATTTTGAGCATGTGCTCCCATTGATCAGCGGATCAGTAATTAATCTATAAATATTTGCACCAATAAAATTATACTTCAAAGTCACATGATAAAAGTTCTACATAAATAGATTGAAGTGGCCCGGCCGTGTAATTTGAACCGAAAATCCGTTTATAACCCATAACACTAAAGAAAGTAAGTAGCATTAGCAGAGTTTATTTTGTACAACGCTTTTCGTGTTATAAAAGATAAAAAAAAATTCATACAAAATGTAACCTCTTGTTTATGACTGTTTTATCCTTATGTATTCTCGAATTATTAAACCATGTGAATCGATTTGAGCAGCCTTATAATGAATTTCAAAGTAATTGAGTCGACTTTATGAATAAGTTGGAATATTTGTTGTTGAATAAATGACAACCTGTATGCTTTAAAGATTTCTTCTCCTTTGATAGCACATTAAATTTTTTTATTGTTATTTAGTTTCCTTTAATAATCATTTAATATAAAATTTTTTTTTAAATTTTTTGTTCATACATCATACAACTTGTAGAATTCTTTATTTTTGAGAGAACAAAAAAAGATTTTTCGGCTATTGATAAATGATGTCATTTCGAGGCGACCTCGAAAGATGATTACATATTGTATAGGTGGCGGTTTGGTATAAATATTCACGTCATGGATATATGATTACAATATTCGTTACTTGATTTAATAGCTATAGTTAGAGAAGTTTGTCTTTACAAAATATTTGCATTTCAATAAACGAATCAACAATACATCGCAACAATAACATTAAATTAAAAGTTAGATTTATCAATAATTTTTTTTTGTCACAGAATTCTTGAGGATTTAGAATGATGTATCACGGCCAGTTCTTGGATTCAGCATATAAACTGATTTCTACTAGCGTTCATGAATGGAAAATTGCAAGAGAACGGCATGGAAACGAGTTTCGTGATAGCTGCTGGTGTTATGGTTTTGTTATTATTAATTAAATACTATGGATATATTTAGCGAGAATATTTAAGAATAATTGATTATTAAGAAATGCTGTATTTTCGAATCTGATTCATAGTTAAGTCAAAATGCTCTTTTCATTAAACTTTGCCTGTACGCAAAAATTAACAATGTTATTTTATGAAATTTACTACAATATATTTCAAATCAACTAGTTGGTAAATTCTTAAGATTCTTTGATAATTACACAAAAAATAAAACACGTGAAAACGTAAAACTACTAATTTAATTCAAAATTTTTTATTTTTTTATTTCAAGGGCAAATTCATTAACTTTGCATTAACTGAATAATTGATTATTCTTAAAAAAATTTGAATAAATCCTGGTATTTGTTTCACAAATCCTGAATTTTCGAAAGTATAAATATAATTCTATATAAATCTAGCGATTTCAAATAATTAAATATTTTTCGAAATCAAAATTTAGCAATTCGTCATATTCTCTAATAATGCTTGTTATAATCATGATGCTTTTTGTGATCTCTCTTGTATTCTTTGACGGTCTCGGGCTTTTCGTACTCTGATGTTGCCGGTTTGGTCTCGGGCTTTTCGTAATCCGATGTTGCCGGTTTGGTCTCGGGCTTTTCGTAATCCGATGTTGCCGGTTTGGTCTCGGGCTTTTCGTACTCCGATGTAGCCGGTTTGGTCTCGGGCTTTTCGTACTCCGATGTAGCCGGTTTGGTCTCGGGCTTTTCGTACTCCGATGTAGCCGG